TAAACTGGTAAAAACAGAAAGATTGCTAAAATACACAGTGGGTGATACCAAGAATCAAGCGTTTTTTCTTAGAAGAGAATGGGAGTACACAATACCTATTTTAGCAGTACATATCGACACTGAAAATGAGCATGTCTAATCTGGTGATTCTGCAAACTTCAAAAATAGATAGAAATATAAGAACATACGTATTGAAATAGCATTATTTGAAAGAGGGAGCTGGACACAGTGGTTCATGCCTATAATCCCAGCACTTTGGGAGGCTGAGGTGGGCAGATCACTTGAGGTTAGGAGTTCAAGATCAGCCTGGCCAACGTGGTGAAACCCCATCTCTACTAAAAATACAAAAAGAAATTAGCTGGGCATGGTGGTGGACACCTGTAATCTCAGCTACTTGGGAGACTGAGGCAGGAGAATCGCTTGAACCCAGGAGATAGAGGTTGCAGTGAGCCAAGATTGCACCACTGCACTCCAGCCTGGGTGACAGAGACTCCATCTCAAAAAAAAAAAAAAAAAAAAAAAAAAAACAAGAAGAAAGCAAGTAACTGGAAATAAAAACAACTCTCCATCAATACAAAAATTGTTATTTAAATTATAATACATACATTCATGTTATGTAATACTTTTGATATGGTTTGGCTGTGTCCCCACCCAAATCTCATCTTGAATTTTAACTCCCACAGTTTCCATGTGTTCTGAGAGGAACCCAGTAGGAGGGTGATTGAATTATGGAGGCAGGTCTTTCCATGCTATTCATGAGTGAATGGGTCTCACCAGATCTGATGGTTTTAAAAATGGGAGTTTCCCTGCACAAGCTCTTTCTTTGCCTGTTGCCATCCATGTAAGATGTGACTTGCTCCTCCTTGCCTTCCTCCATGACTGTGAGGCCTCCACAGCCGTGTAGAACTGTAAGTTCATTAAACCTTTTTTTCTTCTCAGTCTCAGGTATGTCTTTATCAGCAGCATGAAAAGGGACTAATACAACTATTTAGCTGTTGAAAAGAATACCTTTATGTACTGACATGGACTATTGAAATAAAAATTTTCAGTACAACAGTATGTCTAGCATGGCCTCACTTTCTAAAACTAAAATTATGTAACTATATACTAGTACAAGATTACCTCATTTAATATAGAATTTAGCACTACAACAACACAATGCATTTTGTTAATTTGGGGTTTTACAATTCAGGCATTGAAAATAATTCAAATCAAGTTAAATATGAAACACTAAGACTGAGTTCAGATCCTTGTTAAAATTTAAAGTGCACTTCAAATTTAAGATATAGTTCCTTTGGATTTCAGTAATCTGCCTCTTCTTTATTATAAGATAAATATAAAGTGAAATGTTCATGATTTTCTCATAAACTATCTAGATTGTTTACTGAAAATATACTTTAGCAAATATGAGACTAATAGCATAAAAACCTTCAAACTACTTTCTCATAATCACATATCTTATCTTCATCATATTGCTTTCAGTTGATATTTATGCAGGGCAGAAAAACAGCTCTGCCAAAAATTCTGTGCAATAACTTTCAGTTGAGGCCTAGAACAGAACATTTGGTTTATATGAACCTACATCTCAAGATTGCTATGATTTAATTTTACCAAGTTTCTGACTTACTTCATATACTGTCATGTTTGAGTTCAAAATGAAGGCACTGTTCCCACTTGGAGAAAAAGAAAAGAAATTTACATTTTTATCTTGTTCTAGTGTGATTATACTTCAAGTTTTCCAATAATTTGATAGAACTCAGTGAATTGCCTTTATATCAAGGTAAATATATGCTATTATAGGGAAATTAAAAGTGCAAAGGCAAAATACGTTTTAGTCATTTTCTTTTATTAGAAAAGCATCCATTTCAGACAATACTGCAACAATGCTCAGTATTGTACAGAAATGTTTCAATTGTCTGAATTTTTAAGAACCAAGATTTCCCTCTTTCTATTATATTGTCCTTTTAGTCATCTAAAACTTCTTTTAGTTCATTTATTCTACCTTATCTTTACAGATTACAAGACCATGCTTGTCAGTACTTACAAAGAGTGAGTCCCAAATGTTTTTATGCCATGATGTTCCTAAATGTTAAACACAACTTTTAAAAATGGCTTCTGTTTAAATGCTATTAGGAAGACAATGAAATCATTAGTGCTGTCTACAAATTAGCTTCTGTTTTCCTCCTAACATATCATAGTATTGCACTTAGCTGTCCCCTGGGAAGTTAGGAAAGCCACATTATTTATGTTAGCTGGAGAAGTGTATGCAAATGAGTGTTGCCTCCAGATGGAAATTCTAACAGCCTGTGTGTGACTCACCATGCTCTGTAGCGTTAGGAACAGCCACATATAATGGTGGCTGTTTTGTCACCTGAGTTCTCTGAGTGATTACGGCAGCAGAGCTCCCCTTCAGAGTGGACAGGAGCCATAAATGAGATATAAACCTTTGTGAGGTTTATGGCGCTGTAATTTGGAGGTTGTTTCTTATTACAGACATATCTAGGCTTTTCTGAATGATATACCTAAACCTGGAGGTTTGGGAAATAATCAGATTTATATCTAAATTATGACTTGCCCATGTAAGTTGAGACACAGGTAAAAGAGTGAAGATATCACAGAAGAGTGGGTAGGGTAGGAGAACAAAAGGTAGTAATGGAAAACAAGTTGAAATTCTTCCCATCCAGTAGCAGATAAAACGGGAGCTTAGGTTCAAGCATTTCAAGTTTTATATGGCCCTCCTAAAAATAATCACCCTTGAAAAACATTAGTCCAACTTTATTATAAAATTACTTATTTGAAGTTTTAAGCTAGTCAAAGCACTGAAATTACATGAATTGCATACCAAAGCAAACAACAATATATACATATCACTATTTAATCTCTATACAATCCAACAAGTATGAAGAGCACAACATACATTTATTCACACAACAAAGAAAAACACGTTTCATTTACTATTAAAATGTGCCAGTAACAAGTTGAAGTCCAACATTATTTACCAGGTGGTAAAATCTTTGACACCTAGATTAAGAAGTAATAAAAAGTATATTCCCAGCATTTATATTCTGACCCAAAACAGTTATTTAATTTGGAGCAATGATGGTATACAGGTGAAGCTAGCAAGAGTTTTAACAAAAAGTTCACTCTATATTTAACAAGTGCTCTTATTTGGGTTCTAAACTCAGAGTAGGCACGAAACAAAAGCAGATTTCTCAAGTCCAAAAGTGTGCAAAAAAGAAACATTTATCACATAACACAAATACATCTACATAAGTGTGTATTAACTTTCAGGTATTTTTCATTTTAGCTATATAGATAATTAGAAGCAACTTTCTGTCTCTAGGAAAAAAAATTAAGCGCACATTTCTATCACCTAGTTAAACCCATCAGTAAAATGTCTGCTGTTTTGGATACACCCATAGCTAATTGTGAATCAGCATTATCTATCTTTGTATTCATAGTAATAAAAACCTATGTGTGATGATTTTGCTTTTGTCTCATCTTTTTAGAAAAATTCACTAACACTTGTTAAAATCCTGACATGTTTAGGTTATTTGTCCAGAATAATATAATTACCCAGAAATCATGTTTAAATAGTATGTGAAGTTGCTTGGATAATGCCTTACCCAGTTCAAAAGGAAATTCAGTAACTCTGAAGATCAGTTATGAGTTTTGAAATAGAGCTGAAAACACTCAAATCGGTAAATTTATTGAAACTATTTGTACTATTTATTTTACAGTTTATTTCCAGAAACCTGAACAAATATACTTCCACTTTGAACATTTATATGAAAGGTATTGGTAGATATTCCAGTCTATTATACATTATACAGTAAATTGCCAAGCTACATGCAACACATATAATAACAGAAATAAAACTCTGAAATCAGATGTGCACATTGTTGCATTTGTTTTCTTTAATTTTGTTTTACTCAGAAGAAAAAAAACAATGAAAACATATTTTTTTTTAATTTTTGATGTCTACTTCTTGGGTTTAACATCATTTTTAAGACCAATTTGGTTACCCAAACCTATGCTCAGATAACATAGATAACCCTCCTGTGATATGTACACTTCTCTCTCACTCCTCAAAGCCTTACATGCTCATACATTCTCACACATGGTCACGTTGCAAGATCTCCCCAAGTCAGTACACATGGCCAGGGTGACATCATGGCAATACAGCAAGAATTCTGCCATTTGTTTAGAAGCCTCAAGGAGAAGGAGCCTGGAGCCCCTAAATGAGAGTTCCTTCTCCATGCCTCTCCCCAGTCAAAATACATGGAAATATTCATGGAAGCATTATACCTAGCATGATGAGGAAGGATGGAGAATGGTTCCTTATGTCTCTGTTCACAAGATATCAACACTCTTAAGTAACTGTATGAAATAAATTCTCTTCTGAAAGCAAATAAACCATCTGAAAGGTCTTCTGGGCTTTAAGATTTCGTGAAACAAATGAGAGCATTTATGTAATGTAATAACAGTCACTAATTGCAGCAGCTTTTTTAAAAGTATATGCACTATAGAAATACATATCACACACATATTCGTTTGTGTATATACATACATACACTCATATATACTACAAAAATCTATAACCATCAGTTTAAATTAAAACTGCACAAAACTTTGCAATTCTGTGTTCATTTTGCACCAAGAGGTTCTTGTCTGTAGTTCAACCTGGCAAGTATTTACCAAGCATCTACTATGTGCTCTATAAATGAGAATAACCTAAATTTGTGTTATTAATTATTTACTGGCCTTAAAATCAGAATATCATGTGCCAATATGTTTGTGTTTCTCTTCTTTAAACTTACTGGAAAAGTATTGCCTTTAAATCTTCAGTGAGGCTATTTGCTTAATTCCTTTTAATTTACTTATGGGAATTTACAAAGAAATCACTAAAAGTTAACATGACTTCCAATGTAAATTACCAATCAAAAGCAGATATTTATGAGCATAATAATTTAAGTCTCATTGAATTACACAGATTTCCTAGAGAATCTGAAATCAGCCTAACAGAGAAGATTAATTTTTAAATGAATCCAAGTTCATGAAAGCAAAGAACTCTTATACAGAAATGCATTTTCCTATTATAAAGCAGGACTACCTACCCTTATTTCTGATAGACCTAGGACAATTTGAATGAGTACTGAAATTCTTTTGGTTGAATTACACAAACAAGCAAAGAAAAAGTCTCAATTATTACTGGAAAATTTGGAGAGAGATTATCTCTTGATCGCCTAGTTAATCGTTATAATAATCCCCAAGTACTTGGCAAATTGCCATTCTTCCTCTCTTAGTACTGGTAGCACAGGCTTTAGAATATGCCATCTTACAAATTTAATGAACCTGCTATCAACAGAATTTTCTGATGTCTGTATGTATATGTGTGTAAAGAAGAAACATACTAGCGGCAGATAGTCTTTGAATATTGTATATTGATTATGTTTCTTTTGTTCTCTGACACAAATAATGGCTCAAAGTAAAGCACCTTTTGCCAATATTATTTGCACCTATCACTGACATGTAGCTTCTGTTTGTTTGCATTATCCATGGTAGAGTTTTGAAACTGCTGTAATTCTAGTTGTCCATCAGTGTGCTGAGATCGAGCCTTTGTTTCTCTAAAAATTATTTATTGTGTAATCATGCACAAAATTTTCAGAGAAAAAAATGATTATTTGAAAATCGCTAATCTGTGACATCAAAAAACACTTCCAACAACAATCGACCTTCATAATAATAAATGTAAGTAATCCTGTTTGTCAAATATGACAAGAATGGGCCCATTCTAGATAGGATTGCAAGATCAGGCAACCTGTCTGCCAGACCTGGAATATGCAAAGGTTGTTACAATAAACCGTCATGACTTCCGGGTGTCATGACCATGCATGTATTAATTAAGGCTACATAATGACGGGCAAAATAGGCCAGATCAAAAAATAAGAGTGCTTTATTTTATTGAGCCTAATTTATAAGGATTAGCTACAGAGCAGTGATCTCAAAATAACCATTTCACTATGCAGGCCGCAATAAGATGTTCTCTGGCAAACAGGCCAAATAAAGTCATTAGACCTCAACAGATGATCACTCAAAGCATGAATAAGACAGATAAAGCTCAAAATTGCTTTCAGTGTGACTCCCATGGCATTATTTCATTGTGTCTACCTCCCATTGGCAAAAACAAGTGAAAAATGTACAATTATACTGTTTATTTGACAAATTTCAAAACTTGAATCTGACAAAAGTATTTTCAAACTACATGATGAGGTCTGAATTTTCCAGTTAGGCTACAGGTATTTAACTAACTGAAATATTGCCAAACATGTCTTAATTTTGTTCTAGCCCTACACTGACTTACTGTCCTATTAAATTAGGTGCTTGCTGATTTCTCTGCAACTGGTGACTCAGAAATAGCAGCAACCTTTAAGGAATTTTTAATGGAGCTAAGCTCCCAAATATGTAAGCTGATGACATGCACTCCACAGCATCGACTGGCAAACTTGTAGAGATTCTTAAGGACAGCCTTCCGTAGAAGAATATATACCCAAGGATCTAAGATCTGATTCCATGTTGCCATTCGGAGAGCAAAAAGTGTTGTTTCACAGGTTTCCAGAGAATGATTTCCATTTATTCCAATGTTGGCCATTGTCACCTAGAAAAGAAGAAAACAGGGAAATTAGTTGATGCAGCCTTTTTTCAATCCTATAATTTTTTAAAACTTAACTAGCTATGCTGGATGACATTCATTTCACTTTCCACAAAGTGATGCTATTGTGCAAAATACGGATAGAAAGAAATGAATGATAGCAGAAACACTCATGGAGACAATTGAATCATTTGAATTCAAATTGACATTAGAACTACAAAATTGATAAATTCTATAGAAAGTCAAATATGCATAAACAGAATCACCTAAGGGAGGACAAACATTGATATCAGTAACTGACCTTCTCATACTTCTGAGAATAGTAAATGCAAAGCCAACACACATCTGTTTTATTTCAATGAAGTATTTTTAAATAAATAAATTATAGATAAGCTAACAAATAGTTTTACAAAATGAATTTAGACCATCTGATATTAATTTGTAAATGGTATATGACGAATGTTACTTTTAGATTTTCTGCTTGTTAACTACAAGGATACCACTCTCCTCAATTTTATATTTCTTTTTCTACATCTCTTTGCCCTAGCCTTAACTTGGCTAAAACATTTCAGAAAGTATGCAATGGAATTTTCTAAGGACTTTGAGGAAAGGAGTTTCTCTCTACACTACCATTGTGACTTAACAGTACCAATGTATTTCGTGGTTTCATGTGTCCATTTCCTGACCACCCATGATTTTGAAGAGATCATTTCATGGAATCAGTTCTATAAAATTGTCCCAGCTATATGTTAGAACTAAGCAAATCACTGGTCCCAGCTTTGACTTCCAAACAAACAGTTGTGGAACATATAAGGTGACTTTGAAAACATCTTGGATGTACAAACAAATAAGAAATAAATAAACAAAGGGTAAAACTGAAAAGTGAAATTTGGGTCAATTTGCCACCATTAAAAGATGATGTAACAAAGACCAAAACACAAGTAAAAAGAAAATCAAGATCCATTACTAGAAAGAAATGTACATCTTAATTTGACCCAATGATACCAATGGTTGAAGATCTTTATCAAAACCTTCTTTGTCTACACAATAAAGTACAAACTCCTCAGCTAGCTTCTTGATGATGCATATGAAGTCTACTTCTATATTCTCATCTCCCCTGCAAATTCCCTATGATACAACCACTGTGAAGGTCTCATCTGTCCCAGATGCACCATGCCCTTCTGAGCTTTTGTTTGTATAACTCCTTTTGTTTTGAGTTACATGGTGCACACTTTTCTGATTCTCCTCTCTCCCCTATAAACAGCAGTGTAGTCACCAGATATGGAAAGGCATGGAGTCCTCTTCTGAGGGGTCCCAGTGCCCAGGTTTCTCCCCAGAACAGTAGGGCACTGCCCAAGCACTCATTACTCTCTCCCCACCTTTAACGCCCAACCCCAGCCTTGGATAGGGGTTACTCCACAGCCTGACTTGGAAGAAGCACTAATTATTTAGCCACCAATAAATGTGGGGAGAGTATTTCTGTAAAAGAAATATCATTTATCATTGGTATATTAATAATAACAAATACATTCATAATATTGATAATTCAGGACCACCTAAGTATCCAACAGAAGATAAATTATAGTACTTTCACATAATTGAGATTTAGGCAGACTTCAATGTTTGTGATTCGGTGTTAACTTTTTAAAAAGCAAACTGCCAAACTGTATTGATTATGTGGTTCCATTTTTTTAAAAAACTCAAATATGTAATTTTGTGCACAGATAAAAGCCTAGCGTGTATGTCATTGTTTTCACTGGTTAACTCTAGACAGCAGAACTACAGAGACTTTTGATTTCCTCGTTTTGTTTGTCTCAAATTCACTAATTTTCTACATAGATCATGCATTACTTTTATAAATCATGTTTTTTCCTAAGAAATGTGTGGAAATATACTATTTTACTAAAGAATCAAAACTGATGTGGATTATTTGTGTACATCTCTGTGGATGTGAGTAGAGCAGGACTGAAGTTACCACAGAATCTCCGGAAAACTGAAGCCCTGATAAGACTGGCAAGGGACATGAGGGAACCCGGGTCAGAACAAGGATGTCTGCAAGCTGGTTCAACAAAAGCAGTCGGAAGCCGTTTTCTCTGGTCTCTGGCAACAGCCTCCTGACAAGCCTTGAGAACATTATTATCTGTCTAGCCCACCTGCACTTGTATTCCAGACACTTATGTACAGAGTCTCATCATACACACAGCCTTTCATAGAGTTTCCAAAAGCTACCCAGTACATGGAACTAAAGGAATATGGGTTATTTTCTAAAATATCTTCCTGCGAACCTTGGCACATTACAGTTGTATATCTTTGTTGATGATTAGAGTTCTGAGAAGTAGACAGGACAAAGTATTTGAATATTCTATGAAAAAATTAATCAATTCACCTGATGGACACTAACATAAGAGAAATAATGAGGTCAAAGAAGCATGGAGGAAGGAGAGTATATGTTTATTGCCAGGTTGCAAAGAACAAAATAGTTGGTAATACAATGGATCTCCATTCATTTGGGCCACCTAAAACAATTCTATCAACTGTTAAGGTCACTAAAGTTAATGAATATGCCAGGCTACTTTATTCATAGATAATAGAGCCTATGTTTGCTAAGGTTTTATTCTGGATGTTATCCCATCATCTCTCCCCCATGTCTGTACATGTGTTGGCCAGAGTCAGGCTCTGTGGCTGTTTACTATTCAAAGCAATGGTAAATTCAATAATTATGCTTCCATTCCTCTGCATATTTATAAATGTAAACCAATCCAGCAGCAAGTAGTTTTGAGTGTCTACTGTATCTAGGCATTGTGCTAGATGGCACTACCACCAAGACCCAAGTTAATGTGAATAAAACAGAAATGTAACTGAGGGGATTCTGAGAACAGAAGGAAGCAAAATGGGCTCCATTTATTATGCACATAGAGGACTGTCTACATCACCTCTCATGAGAAGACAGAATCACAAATCTTACAGGGTGCAGGAAAATGTTATCTAGTCCAGACTTCTATACAAAGCAGAAATTACTTAGGGATGCCACTAAGTATGTGAGAAGAAAGTCTCAGCACTACTCAGGAAAAAATCTTTTCCATTTGAGCTGTATGAGTTGTAGAATGTTTTCTGTTACCAGGAACTAAAATTTATTCAACATATTTTAATGTTGTTTTCTAGAGCATCATGGGATAATCAGTCCATTTACTAAATGTCAGCCTTTCACATATCTTAAAATAATACTAGTCTTATATTTCTTCAGCTGCTTTTCATACAAAATGGTTTGCAAACCCCTACCTCTTATACTCTAGTTTCTCAATCTTTCTTTAAGAAAATACACTGGACAGAAATAAACTAACTCTATATATGGTCCAATAACTGCAAAGCTCAATGGAGGATCATTTCCTTTTGGACAAACTATTCCTATCTGTGCCTCCAGGACTACATTAGCTACTTTCTCCCTTGCATATTCCCTTGTGAATTGATCCTAGTTCATAGTATATTACAGAAAATACTCTCTTACTTAATAATTTTACTCAGTGGATATGTAGAGTAAAACAAGCTTCAATTTTCCCTGCTTATTTTTCAAATTATTCAAATACTTAGAAAATATGGATATATAAATATTTGTACATACATATGTGGAGTTACAGTGACATATCTGTGACTTGATATTAATGAATTTAGCAGCTAGGCATGGTGGCACCTGCCTGTAGTCCCAGCTACTCAGGAGGCTGAGGCACGAGAATCACTTGAACCTGAGAGGCAGAGGTTGCAGTGAGCAGAGATCACACCACTGCACTCCAGCCTGGGTAACAGAGTGAGACTCTGTAAACTTCCAATTCTGGAGCCTCAGATGTCACATGTGAGCCAGCACCCATGTATAAGTTGTTTGATCCGCTTTCATGTTGCCTCTCAACCCACACCTTGTTTTTCTGTCCTTTCTCGTTGAGTGTCTTATCACTTTAAAAGCAAACATAGTATTATAGACTCCTAAGTGGTTTTCTAGTCTCTATTTATTTGTTCTTCTTATTTCATTTTGTTTATTCTAGTTACAGAATATTTCGCAAATGCCAAAAAACATGCCATTTTTCCTGCCCGTCCCTCACTAAAAATTACCTATCTAAATCCTCCTATCCTTCCTGTCCCATCTTCTGCAGAAAACGTTTCTTGATCTCTCTGTAGCTGAGTAATCTCTCATTCTATACAGCCGTTATGTGTGACACCACTTCTTTAGCATTGATAAACATAGTATCAGTATAATATGTAGAACATATTGAAATGAGATAATGTCAGTATGTGTATCATAGTCCCTCATGTCTTGAGGGTAGGAACTATGTCTTTAACTTTCTCAAATCCTTCTCCTCTGCTTTGTACAACATCTTTTAGGAAGAGATTCCTACAGTTGAATTGGGGAAGACAAGAAGAAACAGGCAATTACAAGTACAGGAGTTAGGAGGGTTACACAGAAAGTAGGCCAGGCAACCTCAGGTCAAAAGAGTCAAGTTGGATTTAAAGTTAAAAAATATATATATATATATATATATATAAGGAAAGAAAACTTAAATGAACTTTTGTTTCAAGGAATTCCTCAGATTCTCTGTAACCTTTAACTTCTAGTCTGCACAGAAGTTTCTATTTACTCAAGATAAGAAATCCTAGTAAAGTTAAAGTGAGTTTTAACTTGTTTAATTGTTATGGTGATAAACCTTACATCTCCCCATAAGCCTTTGCTGTTCTTAAGGAAGGGCCGCAATTGAAGATCACTGGGGCAGGTGAAGAGAAGGAGGCAGGGGTGCAGAGACTCCTACCTGAGCCAGATCCCAGAAGGGTTTGGGAACTGGGAGGGAGGTGGTGGGATTCAAGGTGCTACAACAGGGACATCTCTGTCTTAGACGACTTGTTCTTGTTTAAAGAAACTCTGCCATCCCTGCATCCTCTGCATAATAGGTTGTCAGTTCAATCTTTTTAAATCAAACTCACTGACTAATCAATTAATTTGATTCAACTTTAAAGCTTTGACC